CAGAATACTATTACACCAGCTCACTTTCACAGTGAGTCAATTAAAATAGAAGCAACAAAGGTTTCCAGGTAGTTTTGAAGCAAATCCCTGTTACCTTGCTAGAAGCAGAAGTGGGACTTGCTGTGGCATCTGAGCAGGGACAGCAAAACCTGCTTGAGCCCAGGCTCCCTGAGCACACACACCTGGCATCCAGATACACCGAGGGCAGAGGCTGGTTTGCGCTGCCCATGTGGCCAGCAGGGGAAGGAGGCACTCAGTGCTATTTCCTTGAAGGTCCTTTTCCTCTACTTTACACCCAACGTTGCACACCCTTTCAGTCACTCACTGCCCAGTTCCCACATAAGGACATCTGGAAGCTACTGCTGGTCCCCAACTTCGCTTTCTTCATGTGAAATCATTCTTTCCTTGGGGTTTTTCATTCTCAAGGCACTCCAGGCCACGTGCTTGCCTCTAGAGACAGTTCTGCCCTGGGAACTGGGTGGCTCAGTCGTCCCTCCCAGGATCAAAAGCATGCTGTGGATCACCAACACAACCATGACCAGGCTGGTTTGGGTACCAGGTGTCATCTGGCCAGTGTAGCAAAGGCCTGCCTGCAAACTAATTTAACCTGCTTCAGAGCTAGTTCTGCTCTAGAGGAGAGGCTAAAGAGCTTCTGTGCAAATCAGCATCTTCTGTGGGAGGTGGCAGTGCTGCTCAAGCCCCCCTGCCTGCTCTGCCTTGCCATGGCTTGCTGCAAACCTTTTCCAAACCAAAGCTCTGCCCAGCACAGCAGCACCTCACTCGAGGTACCACCCACACTATGCCCCGCCACAAAAAGAAACAAGTAACATTTCCCTCTCCCTACCCAAAAATTCCAAAACTAAAGCCAACAGGTTTCCCAGCTGTGGCCTAAAATGGGTTGGATTTGCATGATTTTGCAAAATTCCTTTACTGCTTGTGCCAGCCTTCGGTCTCTGCAACAAGTGGTGGAGCAGACACAAGCCCACCTCGAAACGGCAGCAAGGGGCTGTTTGTGGGGAGCAGGGGGCGAGCAGCAGCCTGGCCCCGTGAATGCACTCTGCTGGCTCCTGCTCTCAGGGCTGCTGCCGTTGGATCACCAACATTCACCCCTTTGCTCCTCCCAGCCCCGAGCTGACGGAGGCTGGGAAAATGGACTTGTTATTCCCAGTCTCTTACAGCACAAGAGACAGTCAAATGGTTCAGAGTTTCTGTTTATTTCCTCCTTACACTTGGCAGAAGGAAACTCCTTCCCTAAAGATGTAATTAAACCCCAGAGCCATGGGATGAGGCAACAAACTGGAATGCAAACAGGTGCAAGAAAGGGAGAAGAGAGGTTCATGGCAGGTCCCGATACCCATGGCACATTTTCATCTACACAGCTTATCAATAAATCTATTAACCAAGGGGGGCAGGACATCAAAGGCACAATCCCTCTGCTGTCACCTCCCTCCAGTCTTCCCTCACTAGGAACAGCCCCGCTTCCTCTGGGTGACACAGACAGCTCCAGCACCTCTTCACATGGAGCAAGCTCACAGGGACTCTGAAAAACCTGCCCTGTTTGAATTGGAAAACTGATTCTTCAAAGTACTCAGGCAGAGGAGTGGTACCTTCCTGAGCAGCATCAGCTACAGAAACCGGACCTTTGGTGGACCTAAAGACAACCCAAGCACCTCCACACCCTCTGTCGCCTTCCCCATACCTTCCCCCTTACTCTCTCCTTCCGAAGGAGGGAGTAAGTCTAACCTGTTTGAGATTGTCAGCCAGAAAGACGAAGTACACACAACAGAAACCCAGCTGAGTGATGATCAGGAAGAGTCCCACTACACGCCTAGAAAACAAAAAAGACCATTTGTTAGGCAGGCCATACAGAATTAAGATCGCATTTGGGTTGCTCGGGGCTGCGCTCAAACACTGCAGCAATGCCCTCCCTAGGGGCTGAGGTGTGCTGGTTACATGTTATTTACCCCTGTGTTACACTGCAGAGACTCCTCGCATCACTTTAGAACAAACCACATCTGACTGGGGACAGGATCAGGTCAAGGATCTCAACGCTACCCCTCAGGGGACATCAAGCACTCAGGGCAGGTGAGCCACTTGTCCTTATCTGCCAACCCAACTCAGAAACAAGCCAGCTCTTCTGTCCTGGCTCCACGCGCTGGGCTTAAAAACACATTCCCTGCTTGGAGCAAGGGAACAGATACCTTCCCCAGACGGCGTGTGTCCGCAGCCATGAGATGGGAGTCGATTCCAGCCCATACATCATGGTACCCCCGTAGTCCAGAAACTGCTTCTGGAACCTGTCCGGTGAACAGAGAGAGAAGGGATCACATCAGCCCCATCTGCTGGTTCCCAAGGCAAATGATGACATTAGCAAGGAAAGAGTTCCCGTGAAAGAGCGCAAAAGCAGTTCCCGACTGAGCCTTTGACATGGGCAACTTGCTGCTGGGTGGCTTCAGAAAAACCATGGGGCTTGTTGGGAAGGAAGGAAGGAAGAGCTGTAGGAGCAGCAGCGCCGAGAAGGGGAGTTGCTCCTTACCTGTTGCAGAAATGATGGGCGCATTTCACCAGGATGCCCATGCAGTGCACGGCCACAACTCCCATCACCACCAGGCTCAGAGGACCCAGCTGCAGGGGAAGAGAGGGGGAAGGCTGCACTCTCATGGCCAAAGGCAGAGCTGCACATGGGGTTTACTTCCACTCAAAACCCCACGGGCTCCATGAGCCAACACACTGCTGGAGGCTGAACCTGAGCTCAGGTGCTGAATCCAGGCCCCCAGGAGCGAGTAACCCCACAGAGAGCTGCAAGGTTGGCAGGAATGATGCAAAAGAAGCAAGTTCGGGCAGTTCAGGTGTAGCAAAGTACTTCCAGGATTGTTTTTCAAACTATCTTGCACATCCCTATTATACAGGTGACAAAGAGGTCATTGTTTGGACAAAGGAAGTCTTCTCTTCTAATTTTTCTTACCTCTCAAGCAGAGCAACGGGAACGCTGCACTGCTGGGTGAGGAAACCCAGAACAGAGCAGCAAGGTGCCCCCACCTCTCACACAGATGAGGTCGCCGGGGCACAAGACAGACACAGAGGAGCCAGTGTTGGCACAGAAGGAGAAGGGGGAATGTGACAGTTGATGGGGGCTGCTGTTTGACCCCCAAGGGCAACCTCAGCCCCTCAGGCAGCAAAACTGCATCACACCCACAGATCTCAACAAGACCAAAGCTGCAAGGCTAGGCTAGCCCTGACGGAGCCCCAGGAAAGAAAGCAGGCTGCCATCTCCCATCACCAGCCTTACCCACTGACTGATGGGGCATGTTACGCGCGTACTGTGCTCGACGGCGTGCTCAGCACAGACCGACTGGGACAAACTTAGGAGGAGGGTGCAAAAGCTCGCAAGCTGGCGAGCATCAAGAGGCATCTTGCCAGGCAGTCAAGCCCTAAGGCCAGCCCCAGAAGCTGCTCAACGCCCCGAGCTCGCTCTGCCCCACAAGCTCCCGCAGAGCAGGGCTGAGAGCTGCCTTACCAGGATGCCGGCGTTCCTCACAGCGAGAGGCAGTCCCAGCAGCCCCGTGCCGATATTGCCCTTCAGGAGATGGATCAGGGTCTGGTACCACCTGAAGGAGAGAGGAAGCAGAGATGACTGTCGGCAGATGCCCACACCCAGACCACGCACAATCTCAGCCCTCAGCTCATCCTGCTCGAGGTCCAGCAGCAAGAAGTTGCTGCAGGAACCACACACAGAGGTCTGGGTGCTGGGCCAACTCACGTTGTCCCATTGGTCTCCCCGAAGCGCTGGTAGGGCCCGGGATGGACGAAGCCGTTCATGCCGTCAGGCGGGCTCCCCTCGGGCGTGACGTCTGTGGAGCTGTAGTCATTGTAGTCCTCGCTGCGGAGGCGCCGGGTGGACATCGTCCCTGTGGGGGGAGCTGCATTAGGGGTGCCCAGCTCGACACCCCCCTTCTCGGGCTCCTTGGGGTCAGTCATCGCACGGAGAGACCAGCTCGTACTGCTGGAGCAAGGTCTCCTCCGGAGCTTTTATACAGCAATGCACTCCTGCCCGAGCAATCACAGAGCTGGCATGTCCTAAGGTCAAAGCTGCATGGCACGTTCCCACTGGCCCTCCCCGCGGGCTCATGCCCCTGTTTTGGGCACACCCAGAGAGGACGGGCTGGGGATCCTGCAGGCAGAGCCTGGATGTGACCTACTTCATGTTAGGCAAGCAACCTGTGTGCTCCTGCTCTCAGGGTAGCAAGTGCAGCACCACAGCCACAGGCAGCAGCAGGGCAGGGAGGGACATGTGTCCCCTGGTCCTCGAGATTGGGGGTGTCAAGAGAAAGGCCAGGAAAGAGCAACCACTTTTAACCCATACACAGTTTGCTGCATGGGAACAGCTTCCTCTTGCCAGGGAAGTAAAAGTTTCCTAACTTCTCCTTTTTCTTTTTTTTTCCTTTTATTTTTTTTTTTGCTTTAAGAATTTTTTATTAAAAAGAATACAACAAAAATTATTAAGCTCCATCAGGCAGGAGCACATCTCACATGCTGGTAGCAAACTGCCCGCCCCAAAGATTTCACAGCCACAGAGGTGCCTGCAGGACAGTACGGGGCGTCCCAGGACAAGGCACCTGCACAGCCTGGGGTTCTTGTACCAGCAAAAACCCCAGCAAGGTACTGCAAGCCAGGAGCACCAGCACAAGCCCTTGTCAAGGACTCACAAACCTCCTGCCTTCAGCTGGAAAGCAGTCAGCTGGTTTAATTCCCTAAAGAGCTCCTGCTGCTTCTGCACACCCTGCTGCTCGGCTCCCAAAAAAAGCCTTGGCTTCACCCACCCTCCAAGCTTCACCCAGCACCTTGAGCGCCTGCTGAGAAGGAGCATATGAGACAGCGAAATTATCTATCAGGCTCCTGCCACAGAGCCCCTGCCCCAAGGCTTCTCTGGGGTGTCATGCCCCAGGCACCACCCCCATCCCAGCAACCCTGGTCCTCCCCAGCCCTGGGGAGAGCCAGAATGGGGCTGAACGTAAGCAGGAGAGAAATGCTGTTACCACAAACGGGCTCATTTCCTGCCAGATGGCTCCTCAGGCACCCGCCAGGTCACGCGAGCACCCACAGGACATGCTCCAGCACAGCACATCTGGCGGCACAGAGAAAGCTCAGCCCAGGCTGCTCAGGTCCTGCTCCATCCCCAGAGCCCCCAGGCATTCTCCCCACCTCTCTCCGGCTGCTGTGTGCAAAAATGAGCCAAGAGCTGCAATTGCCGGGAGGGTCCAGCCTTGCGACCAGGCGGGAAGCAGGGAGCACAGGACTTTGCCCAGCTCAGGACTCCTCTCCAGACTTTTCTTGACTTGCTCCAGATCCCAGCTGCTGGGCAGCAGTTACTCAGACTGTGACAACGCTGCTGTTCTCCCCACCTCTCTCCGGCTGCTGTGTGCAAAAATGAGCCAAGAGCTGCAATTGCCGGGAGGGTCCAGCCTTGCGACCAGGCGGGAAGCAGGGAGCACAGGACTTTGCCCAGCTCAGGACTCCTCTCCAGACTTTTCTTGACTTGCTCCAGATCCCAGCTGCTGGGCAGCAGTTACTCAGACTGTGACAACGCTGCTGTATTTCCTGCAGCAGCAGCAGCAAGCGAGGCTGCTCTGCCCCACGAGACACCAGTGGTGAGCCCTGCTGGGAGGCAGGCACCCGGGGGCCGAGGGCAGCACATGCATCACTCCTGTCCAGCCTCCTCCCTCACAGCCGGGCCACGTAATCCTGCCCTGAA